GTGAGTTACAGGCCTGTCGCCACTTTCATTAAAAAATGACATCCCTACATTACACGTCAATTTAGCAATGATCAATACATAACTGTCTTATCTGAAAATAATAACCCATCAGCGTTCCTTTTTTACAAAAATAGCAAACATTTGATAACACAAAAACGTTGAGACCACTGCCCAATAAGCATTTGCATTTCAATTTTTCATGCGTATGGATAAGAAGAAACATACGTTATTGCGTTGTAGTTCAAAATTAGTAAGTGTGTATCAATCGTGAATGCACGCATACATTGTGGGATCCACAGCCTTTACTATCCTTTTGGAATAGTTCAGATCTCAAAAACGTTAGGTAAAGAGGGACTCTGATAAATCAGAATGGCACGCATATGATTCCTTATACATTGTTGTTATCTATATTAATGATAATACAAAGCCATGACATTTTAAACGATAATAAAGAATATAAATGTTCTTAAAAGAAACATACGTTGTAGAAACATTCGTTACAAAGTTATATGAAAATAGCATTTTGAACCTTGCAAGTACCTTTTTGCTAAGCTGTAACGTAATTGTGAACGTCAGGAACTAAAAACGGGGCGCATTTCGAGTGATCCGACGAAATTTCGTTCCTAATCCAAAATAGGTAGGGTCCACTTCAATTTTACATTATGTTAACAAATGTCAATGAGTGCATTCAAATTTTGTCAGCATGTTTATTAATACTAAACTTCTAAGAATAGAAAACGACAATTATGTATGATGTCTGATGATTCAGCTATATTTTATTAGGTAGGAAACATACGCTACCATATGTAACATATGTTTCAGAAATTCTCTGTGTGATAAATGGACTGTATCCAACACTAAATAGGATCGCAAGTAATACAAAATTGTTGAGATAGAACTAAAAAGAAAACTGGAAGCATATCCAGCGTAATGTATTCAATTGATGATTATGTTGCTACCATTTATTTTTACGCAGGGCGTTCATAAAGATTCTGTAAGTAGATGACAAAGACAATCACTGCTACTGTGCTCTTCAAACTAGTTACCACGTATCAGTTTCGGTAAAAAATGTAGGAACCCCCGGGGATGGGAACCTTGAAGTAACAACTTTTATTTTTTCCTTATTTTTAAATTTAGGTAGATTTTCCATGGAACGGGTAAAAATGACAGATCTTAACCTTTTTGATGTTCAGTTTACGTAACAAAAGTGAGGTATATCGATGACTCTCTCGTCTTCTTAACTATTTGTTCGCAAACATTTGGATTTTCCTAAAGATATACTACTGACACATGTTTATGATAAAAAAATGTTGGAGGATTCTGCCTACAACTCATAAAATAAGGAAAAAAGCGTAACGTCGAGGTTCCGGCATTTTGTTACCGAAATGGACCCTAGTTATATTAGAGTAAAGTACCAGTGACAATAAAGTTGAAGTTTAATGCATGCTGCAGAAAAAAAAAATGTTGCATTTGCAAACAACAAATGATATTCTCGGCGTTCAACATGATAATGTTGTGTTAGATTGACGAACCTGTCCTGTCCGGCAAGTTTGCAGGGATGTATGGTTTAGACAAGTATGATATGGAAAATATAGAACAGATCTTTCTGTAAATGAAACATACATAACAAAGATATTTTGTAAGCTACAGTTAAGTGATGAATGCAACTTTGAGAATCTATTAGAATAAAAAGCGTTGTTTGACTTTATACCGATCCAAATAAACATTTGTACAGAAAGACGATTTATAGATCTGACACAAAGACTCTTTTTACAAGAATGATAAGATCAAAAAAAATTCTCATGAAAACGAAACATACATCAGCAAAGACGTGTTGCAAGCGCGATGTTGTGAATGCGATTTTGAGTACATATAGAATTATACTTGAACAGAAAGCTTCGTATGACTATCTCCTAAACAGACATATATGAGATGTTATATATAATAATAATAGAGCTATTTGATCACGGTTCACAAAATGTAACATACGTTATCTAGATTTTTTGTTTAATTTGGAGGAGAATGTATATTTTTGTTGATACCAGCCTATTTCCTTATTTTGAAATGATATGTATCCATGGTCGAAATACAAAAAAATGCGTAGCTAGACTGGAAAGTAATTATTATGCATCATATGACAACAAAATAAGGACAATTTTAATAAAGTCGGTACTAAGAATAAAAGTTCATATTTTTTGAAGAAAAATGTCTTCATTATTTTCCAGAAGGGTAAAGTTTATGCAATATGTGTCTAAAATGTTAAATCAAGGCAAAGTTGATCGTTGAACTTTTATTTCTAAAACCGTGTATATACAGGGTGTCCCGAAAGTATGGGGCCCCCCCTAGGCAGACATATACCAGTGTTGTCATAGTATGTGTCATATATCATTTTAAAGCTTATCCAAAGTTTCATTGATTCTCCAAGTATCATGGTTCAACTCTCAAATGTGAAAAAATTACAGGCATTTCAAAATTTAGTGTTTGGTCAAAATTAAGTTCAATTTTACACCAAATCACTAGTCAATGTGTCCTCCTGGGCCATCTTAACAGCAGTAATTCTTTTCGGGTCAGATGGATATTGAGTTGGAAAAAGAGAACGATGAGGGTAGAAACTCTAGGGAAACTCTTCTAAAGTGCCTTAACAGGTTTTAAGAGGGTTATAAAATTCCACACCCCTATTTGAAGGGCTTTTAAGGTCATATCTGAAAATAATTGCTGCTGTTAACATGGCCAAGGGGGTCTCATTGACCCATAATGTGGTGTAAAATTGAACTTTATTTTGACAAAACACTAACTTTTAAAATGACTGTAACTTTTTCTCATTTGGGAGTTAAACCATGATACTTGGCAAATCAATGTAACTTTGGATAAGCTTTAAAATGATATTTGACACATACTATGGGGACACTGGAATATGTCTACCTAGGGGGGGCCCCATACTTTCGGGACACCCTGTATGTTCCACTGTCTTGAAACATTCGTTACATTTGACATGCCTCCGAAAATTTAAATAATCAAAAAAACTAACTTAATATTTCAGAAAGTGTAAACAAAAAAGTAAAATAGTCATATTTAGCGACATTTTTGTGACACATTTATCAATTAAAGTCATTGTATTTCTAAATTTCCAGGGAATGTATATAGCCAGCTTTTCAGGAACACTTTTCTTTCTCAAGTTTTGTTGCTTGTGCATTTTAATTTCTTTCTTTTGCTGAAGTTATATTAAATAGATTACCAAAAGTTTTGTGATCGGAGTGAGTCAATATTGCTATTCGCTGAACTTCAGTGGTGCAATAGTGAAGTTCATGTTCCAAGTTATATGATACGTGTGGTTGAAGAAAGAATGTAAATGATATCGTTTTAAATTTCAAAATATTTGATATGTCATAGTACACGGTACACAGCTGCAAAAGTTGATCAATACAGGGTACAAGGAATGTAAATTGTCCAATAGTACAGGGAGCGAGAAAATCAGCTTATTATACAGACATACTATGTCCCGATCTCATGTACATTTACGTTGCAAACAGTGAAAACAATACCAAAAGGCCGCCTGTTGATGCTTTGAGGTGTTATCAATTGTTATTTAATCTAAATAAAGTAAACATTATTTTGTAAATTTAGACACGGGCTTTCAGGTCGAATATGCATTTTAGTCATTAAATTAACAAGAACGCTAGATTATACGTGTTACTAGGGTATCAAATTAAAATGAAATAACGAAATTAAAATTATCATGAACACGTTAATGATAAATGAGTATCTGCTATCAGTATTAATGACTATCCTCTATTCAGAATAATTAAAATTGCTTGAACTACATGTGAAGATTCTTTCTATATAACCCCTTGAATGGTCTTATTCACTACCGTCCTCATAAAACGATCATTTAAAATATTATGTTCAAAATACTATCATGCCACGACTTGAGAGCATTTTGTTCTTCACGATTTGCTGTAGCGCTGATATGACGTCGTATTTCTCTATTATTGTAAAAAGTCTTATACGACGTACGTGTTGAATGTCAGATGTTTTTGGATGGTATCTGCTCCAGTGATTTTACATTTACTCATGAAACGCTCATCACAAGACACCTCGAAACAAACATTATCCTCTTTGTGACATGAGGAAAAATGTTTCACAATATGTGAAGTAAAGATACATTTCTGGGACGACTTTTTATGCATCTTAAAATTTTAGAAAAACAATTAGTTCACAAAATACAGTTGAATAACATACTGGAAAACGTATCCACATATAACACGATGACACGCAGTTTAAATAACAGTTAATTTTTTTTTTTGTTACATTGAATGTAACATTTTCGAAGGGAAACTTACATGCTCCCTGTGCGTTGATGGATTTACTGAAACGTATCGTGTATTGCATTCGAATTTTCAAATGAATGATTCAAATCCGTGTCATAGCATGAAATAAATTTTGCTCGTAGACGTCGACGAGAGTTATTTTTATCATTTTTCAAAATTAAAGTAAAGGAAATGCTTACCTGTTTGAAGTAACATGTTTTTTAATCGGCGTATAGACTATCCAGGATATTTATTCTAAACCATCGTTTAAATTGAAACGTTATAATGGAACAACTATCATTTCGAATATCCCATAAAACACCCCTATATACATTTAGAAAGGATTTCCCAGTTGAACATATTGAACGTGTTGTGTCTACAACCATCTAGAGGGAAGGGCTACTACTAGATCTTTCTTGTAGAATGCCGAATCTTGCCTACCCTTTTCAATCAGTTCGTAAATCATCTCGCTGTTTTTTCATTAATAATGTTTTTTAATACATGTAATAACAATAACTTAACAATGGAGGATACATTCATTCAACTTCAAATGCGCACACCTCTCTCCGATGCTCGCACTATCACGCCTAATCATCGAATACATACAGTGACAAAATATACGGGTGTACACTTAAACTGTACGTTACCTCGTTTGAAGCAAAAATTGTGATGTAGGTTTAAAAGATTTATTTTAGGAATATTAAGTATTATCACATGCTCTGTAAAATTCCAATAATCTGATTGGTTGATTACCGTGTGAGTTTTCCCGTCTCACACGGCCGTCTCACACGTTACTAGAGGCAACCAGTGATGATCAATAGCAACGATGTGACGTCACTGATTATATCACTTCTAGCTAAGGAAAACAATATGACGTCATACTATTTCACAAACAAGTACGAATACAACGGTATGACGTCATATTGTTTCAAAGCGAAATCAAAAATTATAATAGTTACCAGAAGTACTGAACACAATCAAGGAGGATTGGCTCCCAGAATGCAACACCGATATTCTGCAAAACAATCACCTAGCGATAGCTTTGTTGGAGAGTATCGGGTCATTCTCCATGCAGTCGTACAAATTATACAGACACGAATAGCAAATGACGCATGCGTGGAGATTAAAGAATATCGAGTTGGAATCCTGGCTTCCAATCCTCCTTGGAACACAATCATAACTGACCAAATCAAAATGCTTCAAAATTCCTAGACATGTGATAAAATCGTCATCACACGTTTCAGCTTATGTGATACAGGAAATATTCCACTCGGGTAACAATGTATCACCACTCAAGCTTCGCTTTCGTGGATGATACAGTATTACCTTTCGTGGAATATTTCCTGTATCACATGCTGAAACGTGTGATAACTGATAGTATTTCATGTTTAATTACATGTGCATGCTCTTGGCAAGACTTTTAACTTTCTAATTATAACATTAACAGATTCTCAAGCAAAGCACGACTTTTTCTCGGCAATTCCAACCACCATGTGAATATAACCAACATTTTCCAACCGATCAATTATGTGGTGGAATTACCCAGAAAAAATTCGAGCACTGCTCGAGAATCTATTAACGTAATTAGGAAGTTAACAAGACACACAGTGATAAATATCGCACTTTGAAGAGCAAACTGGCCACCATGCAATTTACCCAGCATGGCCAAAACCTAATCAGACCTTGGCACTAGTCTGCTCTTCCATCTGTAAACATTTCAAGTTGACAAGGTTAGCGGTTTTCCTGCAATTTTGATGACAAGAATTTATTTGTAGTCTTGAACTTTGGGAAAATTTAGATAACATTGTTTGTGACCTAATTTGATGACCTTCGACCTTGAAAATTTCACTTTTTCAGACCTCAGTAGGTCTTTTGTAATTAGCTGACCTAAATTTAAATCCAAAATATCAATTTAGAAAATCAAATTTTTGACCTTTTCAAGGCCACTGAATGTCAACGAAAGGTCAAATCTGAAATCTAAGGTCAGATTTGAACTTCTGAGAACTTGTAGATGTTTTTTAAAAAAAAAATTGGTCAATTTGGAGCAAGTTGAAAAATTCAAAATGGCCGCCAAATTGAAAAATTCAAAATGGCCACCATGTAATTCAGCTAGCATACCCAAAACCTAATCAGATCTTGGCAATAGTCTGTTCTTGCATCTGTAAAAATTTCAAGTTGAACGGATAAGTGGTTTTCCTGGAATTTTGATGACAAGATTTGTTGAAAAATTCAAAATGGCCACCACCTAGTTTACCCAGCATGCCCTTAACCTAATCAGATCTTGGCACTAGTCTGCTATTGCATGTGTAAAAATTTCAAGTTGAACAGGTTAGCGGTTTTCTTGGAATTTTGATGACAAGAATTGATTTGTAGTCTCAAACTTTGAGAAACTTGGATAACATCATTTGTGACCTAGTTTAATGACCTTGACTTTCGACCTTTAAAATTTCACTTTTTCAGACCTCAGTAGGTGTTTTGTAATTAAGCTGACCTAAATTTAAATCCAAAATATCAATTTAGAAAATCAACTTTTTTGACCTTTTCAAGGTCACTGAAGGTGAATGAAAGGTCAAATCTGAAATCTAAGGTCAGATTTGAACTTCTGAGAACTTGTAGATGTTTTTAAAAAAAAAATTTGGTCAATTTGGAGCAAGTTGAAAAATTCAAAATGGCCGCCAAATTCAAAAATTCAAAATGGCCACCATGTAATTCAGCCAGCATACCCAAAACCTAATCAGATCTTGGCAATAGTCTGCTCTTGCATCTGTAAAAATTTCAAGTTGAACGGATAAGTGGTTTTCCTGGAATTTTGATGACAAGATTTGTTGAAAAATTCAAAATGGCCGCCACATAGTTTACCCAGCATGCCCTTAACCTAATCAGATCTTGGTACTAGTCTGCTCTTGCATCTGTATAAATTTCAAGTTGAACAGGTAAGCAGTTATCCTGGAACTTTGATGACAAGATTTAGTTTATGTCCCGCCCGCCCGCACGCCCGCACGCCCGCCCAACAGCACAAGACGACGACAATATAGCACTTTTTCAAAGTGCGATAAAAAAAGTCTTGCCAAGAGCATACACCTGAAATTAAACATGATACACATCATATACCTTAGATAAAACTTTTAAAACCTACATCACAATTTTGGCTTCAAACATGAAAACGTACACCTAAAGTGTATGCCCGTATATCTTTACTCATTGGATAAGTTCATGTTTGGAGGGCAAGGGATGATAAGATGCACAAACAGGTATGCACGAGGAATGAAACTTAATTAAGGTTTCATTTAAAAATCGAACACCCCGAGCCCCGTCTCCCTATTAGGATTACGTCTGAAGTCCTGTTATTATAGAATTTCTATTTACAGGCAGTACGAGGGTTGTCCCAGAAGTAATGCACTATATGCTCTAACTTTATCAATAATTGATATTTTTCCATGAAATTTTCAGTAAATCTTCCTTAGAGACATTTTGATTATTCTGGAAAATTTCATGTTGACTGATAAAACTATATTGATGTTATAATAAAATTAAGTTGGTGAGTTTGGGTAGGGCGGGGCAGGTTATACAGTCACGTCAAAAGGAATAAAAAAATTGAAAATATGAAATAATTAATCAACAAATACCATTTGGTGTAGCTATAAGAAGTATGCTCAAAAAACATTTTAAGATAGTCAATTACTATGAGCACATCCTAGATTTAATGGATGTATATTATACAGTGTCCCACTTCACATTTTCTCAAAATATTGCCCTTTGCATGTTATGTACTTTTGATGCCTGTCAGGTCAAACACTCTCGGCAATTTCTTCCACCGTGACTTGTGGAGTTTTTGCCTCTCATGTTTGGAGTTGTCATACAGGGTCAAATCGTCTCTTTTAAATCTCTTCTGCCACCCCATAATTGTAGTTCTATCTGGTATATACTCCTTATATACTTTCTTCATGGTAGCATTGTTTTGCGTGGCTGTGAGTCCAAGTGAAGTATGAAATTAGGCCACCAAATGCAAGGCCTTCTGTTATCAGGTGAGAATTGCAGCCATT